AGTTGTTTTTCCCCCCTTCTTTTAGATGCAGGACACATGGGTAACGTAACGTTTAGACATGTTTGGGACACGGGTAGGACGAGTTGAAACTCTCCATTGATGTGGATTAGATGAATTGGTTTCACAAAATTTTCTAGGCTTAGACGATCCACCATGGACCGGATTGGAGCATAGGCCCAGCTTTTGTTCGCCGGCCACCCCATCACATTTAAACATGCGCTTTTGAGGAGACGAGGCAAATTGAGAGCATGCTTGGATTAAAGCTATATCAACCGTTGGGTTGTTTTCTACGTTAAGTGGATTAATTTGTTTATAGAATCGAAGTAGTTATCCTTGTACACTTAGTTCTAAACTCATCTAATGGCTTGTAAGCAATTAAGAGTCTTCACTAAGCAAATCATGTCATTAAACAATTGTTTAAGTAATTACAGTACTACAAGGAAAAGAGGCCACTGTTTTGATATTATCCAATCATCGTATATCGGTTGTTAGTGTGTTACTAAGAAGCAAAGAAAATTCCCCTCCTTAGCATATATGCTCAAATCCATCGCCCAAGCCAAACAAACGGCAGTGATTCTGTGCCTGTTTGGTTGAGCTTTTCTGGGGTGAAAAGCAGCTTAGGGTGTGTTTGGGATAGCGGTGGCAGAAGTAGTTTTTTTTCAATCTGACTTTTACGGAAGTCAGATTGAGTAAAAGTCAAATAAGGTAATGTGATTTATGTTTGGATTGGGTTTTGGAAAAAAAAGTTAGTTTGAGAAGTTGAAACTTGTTTGGATGATAAATGTAAAAGTAAGTTTGAATGTAAAATGACTGAAAAGGACATAAACTTTATAAACAATATATATTTATTTTATATATTTATAATGTGATAATTGTCAAAGAAAAATTAAAATTAAAATTATAAAAATAAAAATAGTTATTTTTTAAACAATAAATAATTTATTTTTAAAAAATGATTTTATTATTCAAAAAATAATTTTTTAATATTGAAAACTAATTGGCTGGATTAAAAAAAAAAAAAGAACTCACATAATGTATTCTCTTTCCTCCCTCACTCATGGGCCCCACAAAGTGTGTAGTGGAGAAGCTGCAGGCAGGAAGACGGAAAAACTGAAGAGTGCGTGTGTGTCTTTTTTTTTTTTGTCTTTGAGCTGAAGTGAGAGAAAAAGCATGCAGGAGGGTCAGTCAAGTAAAAAAATTAACACCCTAATAAAATACTCCAACGGTTTTCTAAACGCAGCTGCGCATCTAAAAAAAAGCACCCAAAATAAGCTTCTCCCAGAAGCCCATTTGCGCCTCACAAGTCAAATAGCCCAATCGCAGATCCAAACATGTAAAACCACAATCACATTAAAAGCCAGATTGGGACGCACATTTGGGGGCCCAAATGTGGTCCCAAACGGACCCTTAAATTGGACAGAAGCCCGATTGGAAATTTGGTTGCTGTTTGGATGGATGATTGGGCAATCTGGCTTTTGTATGAAAAGCTACGATAAACTATAAGCTAAAATTAACAGCTTATGACTTATAGCTTTTGAAACATGGAGAGGAAAAAAGTTAAAAAATTTATTACCTCTTTTGGTTCTTATTATAAACCCTAAATAACTAATTTGTAGATAAAAAAAAATTAGTTAAAATTAGTTGAAAGTAATAAATAAATAGGGAAAACCATATTGGAAGTACCTATACTTTTTTTCAATTTTCAATTTGGTACCTATGTGTTTTTTGTTCTTAACTAAATCTTTATTTTTTCTCTATTAACATCATTAATCCTTATGTAGAGACTAAAAATATCAATAGAACAAAGTTATAAGAGCTAATGTTGCTAAAAAGATAAAATTAAATGTTTAATTAAAGGGAAAAAAACACATAGGTACCAAATTAAAAATGAAAAAAAAGTATAGGTACCTTCAATATGGTTTTCCCTAAATAAATATGCTCCTAGAAATATACTTTTATTCTTTCATGTTTCACTTTATATTTAAAATATTTTTTATGATTTCTCAAAAGTTTTAAAATTTAATTCACTCATTAAATTTGACTTCTTCATATTAAATTATTTTAATTTCATTGTATTATGTGAAATTATTTTTTTAATCATGTTTCATTATTTATTAAAAGTCATATCTATTTTGATCATTTTACAACCAAACTTACTTTTACTTAACCATAATCCAAACAACCCTTTATCAATATCACTTTTGTAAACTAATTTTTCTGAACTCAAATCCAAACATAATTCAGCTCATCCAATTTAGCTTTTACCAAACTTTACTTTTTCATAAGCCAAATGACAATAAACTACTTTTTTAATTATTGATCCAAATGGACCCTTTATAGGAATTTCCTCTTCAAGTTGATCCTTGATTTTATTAATTTTTTAACTCTTCTACCAGCATAGTATCATAACTATGTTTTCAACTAATTGCAAGGGAAGTAATTCTCTCTCTTTTTATTTCCTATTCTTTGCCAACAAAATATGCCAAAGTACATTAAATCAAGAATTAATAATGGCAATATCTCTCGAGAACGAAATTGATCAATCTGATTTAATTTAATAATTATATATTTATCAACTATATCTTAAACCATACAAGCACATTTATAAATAAAATGTGAGTCCCATGCACCACTTGAAGTTCGAGGAATCAGTCATATTATTTGTAACGTCAGTAAGAATGAGATATACCTTTTTGGTCAAAAAAAGTGTGAGATTGATATGATAACATTTGCAGGGGAAAAATCGGTCTTAATGCAGATATATTATACTCCTCCGGTCTTATATTATTAATATAAGACCCAATTGTTGAGTTGGTTTTGATCCTAAATATAATTCCCATTTTTCATGTTCATCAATTTTCTCTAAATTACCCGTATAGATACTCCCTCAACTATAATCAAGTAGAAGAGGAAGAAGAGATATTAAGAAAGATGATTATGGTATTTTAAGAAAAACGTGTTACATTTTTTATAATTAACTAACTTACCTAACTTCCTTGATCTAATCAAATTAGTTAAATGGGTCTTATATTAAGGACCGGAGGAGTATTTGTTTTACAGTTTTAAATTTATCTTTTAATGTACTGAGTTTTAATAAAAATTATGATTATCTTCAGAGCTGCAATATATTTATAACAAATCATGCCACGCTTTTCACATTTCCCACAACAATATGGGGTATCATATTATTAAGCATCTTCATCTGTTTGGCTGCTTCAAGGACCTTTTAAGGCTAACTAAGCGGGTTTGGTATGAGGAATTGATGAAATGAGCCCATGGAAATAAAAATGAAATTTAAATTCATGCTTTGAGTATGTTTGGTAGAATGAGATTAAATAAAATTTCATTTCCTTGTCCATTCAAACATAGGGAAATGACTTCCATCTTCTAATTGAAGATTTCAAATTCCATATCCAACTTCTCCATTTTTACCCCTACCTCTGCTTTTTCATGCCACGGCCGGCAATCTGCAATCTCACCGCCGGCGAGATTCATACCCCACCTTACAATGGTGATGACATCAAGCAGTAACCCAAAACAACAGCGGCGACATCAAGCACCAACCCCCGTCTTCAACGACACAGCAATGGCCTTCGTCTTCTCCGTTTCTTCCTCCAACAATGCACAATATTAGGATTTCCGAATTAGAGGATTTTCGCTATTGAAAGATCCAAAATTCGTGGAATGTAATGAAACACCAGGTTGTAACCTTAAAAAAAAAAAACAAAGAATATTCTAGGCTGGCGCACATGCATTATTAATTGGTTTTATTTGTTTACTAGTTATTTGAACTCTCTTAGACTAAAAGGGTGTTTGGATACCCCAATAATCATTTTTTAGAAGCATTTTTTTGTAAATCGAGACAAATTCTTTAACATATTTACCTCATATACCGTAAGAGCACTTCTGAAATCATGATTTTGATCTTACCCAAATACCTCCTAAGTAAGACTCAATGAATCAAAGGAAAATTCTTAGGATTATCAAATTGATTACAATTTTGTTAATTCTTCCCTGACAATGACTAAGATAATGATTTTCTGTTCAGAGATAATTTGTTTTCTCATTAATTGGTTTGTCATAACTATATTAGAATAATCTTTTTGTTCTAAGATGGCCTATCCAGCAATAATTTCGTATTTTATTAAATACTCTTCCGATCCTAAATACAAGACCCTTATTACCTGTATTATTTAGGAGCGGAGGAGTAGTAGCACTAAACAATATAACGTGAAAACAATACAGCTTGCTATTTCGATGAGACTCTAGCTCTAGGCAGATAAACAAGGCAGGCACTTGGACTAAATCAAATAGGGAGAGATTCTTGGCTACATATATGTGTGTGCATATGCATGTGCAAACATGCGTTAAATAAAAAAAGGTTCCAAAATATTCATTCGATGTAACCGTTTTTTTCCCCTTAATATAGGCAAATATTAAGTAAATGAATTAAAGCATATTCTCTCATTTCATAAGAGTAAATTGTGCTTGGTAAGAAAAGAAAAGTATGAATTATGGAAAATTGATTTAAATTCCATATTAATTATTCTGTGAGATGCCCCTTTCATTTTTCTGCTATTATAGTTCCCATCTTTTCGTAAGTTCCATGAATCATTCAAAATTGATTGTTGGGACGATTCCTGTTAGTTTCCAGCAATGCAATTGACCATAAAAGGGTTAAGAATAAAATTCTAAGAGGAGCTAGACAATGAGAAAAAAACAAGATCAATGTATATTCTATTTCGTCAATGAATTAACATTTTTCTTTTGTTATGTCAACCAATTAATGCATGTTTAATTTCAAAGAGACAAAGCATAAAAATATTCGTCAGAATCACGTATTTTTGTGTAACTAGGCGGAGCATTGGAATTGTCGCACGTTTCAACTATAAGAAAAACCAACCCTTGTAATAAGAGTCTTTCAGAGCCTTGTTAAAAATCCTTAGAAGAAAGAGGGTAAGACCAAAAAAAAAGTAAGGGAAGGCTCAAGATTGTCAACAATGATTCCTCTTTATAGAGCCCTCAAAAGAGATTTAAGTGATAATAATGATCATAGTCCTATGATAGGCCATGGTTTTCATAATTCCTCTGTTGGGTGCGTTACCTATCCTCATTTGCTTCCTGTTTTTGAAACCAGAACTTCTCCTCCTCCTTGGACCCTTCCTTTTTCGGATGAAACCAAAGGAAATAATAACAAGAGGTTGAAGAAAGATCCAAGCATCCCAGAAGTCACTGGAGATTATAGAAGCTTTTCTTCAAGCAGTGGAAGTGAAGATTGCTATAGTAGTCTCAGCAGAAGTAACAGTGTGAATAGCCTTCCAAAGCTGCATTTCAGAGACCACATATGGACTATTACTCAGAGATATCTTGCTTCTGAAGAGGCAGCACAGAAAGACATGATCAATCCTGAGGTAAGTGAAGCTGAAGAACAAGACGATCGGTATTGTGCTGATGGGATGAGACTTGTTCAGCTTCTTGTTCATTGTGCTGAAGGTGTGGCTTGTCGTGATAAATCACATTCTTCAATTTTGCTATCTGAACTGAGATCAAATGCATTGGTCTTTGGCTCTCCATTTCAGCGAGTCGCTTCTTGTTTTGCACAAGGGCTATCTGATCGGCTCGCGATGGTTCAACCAGTTGGGGCTGTGGGGAATATGGAACCACTGACGAACATTATGGACATAGCCTCAGAAGAAATGGAAGAAGCATTTAAATTGGTTTATGAGATTTGCCCACACATTAAGTTTGGTCACTTTGTAGCTAATTCCACAATATTGGAAGCCTTTGAAAACCACAGTTTTGTGCATGTGGTGGACCTTGGGATGACTCTTGGTCTTCCCCATGGCCACCAATGGAGGGGATTGATTAAGAGCCTGGCTAAACGCCCAGGCCAGCTAGTTCGCCGCCTTCGAATTACCGGCGTTGGCCTTTGTGTTGAGAAACTCAAGTTGATTGGTGAAGAACTTGAACTTTATGCTCATAACTTGGGAATTAACCTGGAGTTCTCTGTGGTGGGAAAGAACTTAGAAAATCTGCATACTGATGACATTACAGTGAATGACGAAGAGGTTCTGGTGGTTAATAGCATTCTTCAGTTGCACTGTGTAGTGAAAGAGAGTCGTGGGGCTTTAAACTCAGTCCTTCAGACCATTCATAAACTCTCACCAAAAGTTTTGGTTATGGTTGAGCAGGACTCAAGCCATAATGGACCCTTTTTCCTTGGGAGGTTCATGGAAGCACTTCATTATTACTCTGCCATTTTTGACTCTTTGGATGCCATGTTACCTAAGTATGACACTAAGAGAGCAAAAATAGAACAGTTCTATTTTGCAGAAGAGATAAAGAATATTATCAGCTGCGAAGGACCGGCAAGGATGGAGAGGCATGAGAGGGTGGACCAGTGGCGCCGGAGGATGAGTAGGGCCGGGTTTCAGAGTGCGCCAATGAAGATGGTGAGTCAGGCCAAGCAGTGGCTTCAGAAGAATCAGGTTTGTGATGGTTATACTGTTGTGGAGGAGAAAGGTTGTTTGGTCCTTGGGTGGAAATCAAAGCCGATTGTGGCAGCTTCTTGCTGGAAATGCGGAATCTAATGGTGCCTCATTTCCTTGGTATTTGGTGTTATAATAACAAGACCAGCTTCGCATATGGGAAGTTTGATGCATGTGTTTCTACTTTGTGTTTGACTCTACTTCTTTTATGACACCCATGTTTTGTGAATTCAGAGCAATTCAAACAGGGGGCGAGAATAAGTATCAATAATTTTCCATGTTTGGCTGGTTGTTCAGTATCAATCAGATCAAATAAAGATGATTTCTGCTGGTTTGGTGTGCATATACATGAGTTATAACCTTATAGGCAGATTTTAAGAATTTTTTCAAGGATTGTTTATACAAAACTAACTGTAAATTTAGCCCATTCTTATTGTACTTAGAAATAAGAAACAAGTGAAATTCGATCATAGTATTTTTTTCAAAAAAAAAAATACATTGAAGATTTAGAGTTATAAGGAAATACATTGTCTCTCTTTGCAAAATTGCTTCAGGGTTTATATTTAAGAATGGGGAATAAGGTCAACAAGGATCAATCATGAGACAAATTACAAATTTCTGGATTATTGTCTTTCTCAAGCCTTCCGTTCTCAAGTCTAATACAATATCGTCAACGAGCGGTTATTCCAGTTTCTTCGCATGCCACTTGACAAATAAGTTAAACAAAAGAGAGATAGAATGAACCAACGTCAAGATATCATCTGCTTTCTCCAGCATAATTTAACTGACAGGGAAGATCCGTTAGCCCTCCTTTGTTCATTCTTCACTTTGCGCAGCTTTAAGCTAGATATTTCAGGCTAATATCTCCTTGGATCCTGATTCTATGGAATCCATCATTGTCAACAAGTTTGAACTTGCGCCTTTAGAATTTTTTTCCTCTCTTTCATGTACTCTTTGGCATGACATATTTCACACGACGCAAAATTTCTTCTCTAGTTTTTTTTAAGGCTTGTCAAAGGAATTTTTTTCTTTTCTTTATGTAGCCGACATCTTTGTCCACTTCCTTATTTTGTACTCTTATCTTTTTATTATAAATCATTTTGTCTTTAAAGAAAAAAGATCATTAAACAAAAATGTCTTTGACATTGCATCTATTCAAAGATGAGTTTGGAATACAGCACCAACGGCACCATCAAGCTCTCAAGAGGCCCTACGTTTTCTTTTAGTGGCCATCAATGTCAAATTCATATACCATATACAAGAGATAAACGAATTCGCATGCAAATATGAACAAAGAATAGACAAGTTTCTCAACAAACCAGAACAGGCAGATTGATGCCTCCCCCTTGTCATGTCAGAAGTCATTAGTCTCTCCTAAATAATCTTTTTACAAAACCTCGTCTGCGTCTTTTGGGCTTAACATCCTTACCTGTAAAAGGATCGCACATAAAAAGTCGAGTGAGTTAGATATAGTTGTTCTAACAGGACACAAATACACCCAGGTGGACCAGACCCAAAAAAGGTTAAATATCTGATGAATATGAAGATCAGAAGTGATCTGTAAATGCAAGGGAGAAAAAATATGCAAGGAATGCTATTAGGCAACACAGATGATGTTGGATCAAAATCCATCATAAGGCTCATATGCCATCTATTTTAATAAGCCTAGAGTTATACCTTTAATTCTGCCAGCTTGATACAAAACTTCCTCAGCAATGGGTCTCCATTGTTCTGCACATGAATAATTGATTCCGAGACCAACGCTAAGTCCCCTCAGTAGATGCACTGTCCTAAGTACAGAAAAGAGTTCTTCGGGAAAAGCCTATAGCAGACCAGCAAAGGAAAAGTACAAAGTCAGGGAACACAAAGTAGTAGTGTCAAGTGTGAACAAGCCATATGCTACTTATTCCATAAACATAAATATCCCCAGTTTAAAAGGGAAAAATATATCCATTCTTTGATAACAAATTTCCCAAGAGTCAAGATTATCACCATGCCCCTAATAGCATGCCACATCAGAAATGCGTGGTGTAAAAATGAACAAATACTGAATGCCCACTCACATTCTTAAACATACCTGAACAGCAATTTTTTTTATTGAAGAGTCCTCTGAGAAAGGTTGCAGCATCGCCACCCCAGGAGGAAGTTTTGTATCAAACATGGTCTGTGCCAGCTTGAACATCTCCTGTAGCTCATTCTCACATTTGCTCAAGGTGTCTATACCAAGCTCCCTGTAAAAGGGGAGTGAACCAATTGAATATTCAGATTTGAGACGGCCACCAATAGAATGAGGAAATTCAATTTGCAGTTATGAAGCAAAACAAGTCATTCTAACCAGCCATTGGTTAATCATTTTTTTTCTTTTAAAGGATAGAGAAACAAGTGGAACAAGAAATATGCCAAAAGAATCAGATTTTATGTTAGATGTTTACTGAAGTTTTCAATATTTGGTTCATAAAGCTTTTATATCAATTCATGTCTCAGTCTTTCATTTCATTGAAAATGAATTGAAATTCAAGTCAGGGTTTCAGCCTCCAGGTTTACGGAAATTATGATTCAGCTGTTGAAAGGTGTTAGGTACCCTAGGACTAGGGGTCTATGAAAAGATATCAAGTGGTTGAGAATTTTTCCTCTCCTTACACCCTGCCTTTCCCCACTCTCATATATCTTGTCTCTGTCGTTTGCTATCTACTCATTACCAGAACTCCTTAACTTCTAGTCCTTGTTTTCATTACCCATATCCTGCAGTGCTGCATATGTAGTTAGTCACTCAGCCACTAAGCCTTAGCTTTGTATTTCACTTCCGAGTCTAGACATATAAGCAAAGAAGTCTTTAAGAATGTAATGCAGACTTCATAACCTAAAGCTTTCTGATGCTCTTATAGCGTCACCATCAGCCATTGCAAGAACAAGATTAGCATAACCAAGCTTCAACTTTTCTGGGAGATCCTTCACCTGTCCATAGTCTAGCAAGGCAACCTGACTAGAGGCAAGACACCACGATTAGGGTGATGAAAACAGTATATTAAGCATCAAGGCGAAAGTTAATTTTCAATATTCTGCCACGGAGTTATTTATTCATAGCCAGCGGACCAAACAGCTAAAGTCATATCCAACGGCATTTCCTGGTGATTAAATGTCTTAATATTTACAAAGAGGATATTCATAAAATAAAAGAAATGATCCAATTAAGAGACTTGCCTCTGAGCCTTTACAAATCAGGATGTTTCCTGGGTGAGGATCTGCATGAAAGAATCCACTCTTCAAAATCATTTGACCATATGCTAGAGTCAAGCTTTCAAGAATTTTCCTGCACTTTAATAAAAGATTAATATTGTAATTTTCACAAGCTTACATCCAACTACGCATCTAAATTTTGTACAAGATTTTCAGGTACCTTAAAATGACTCACGGTAAAGCTATAAATTTCAAGACAGAAAGTGAGGTATTGAGATGCATGGAGACAACTCTATAATTGGTAGGATATCAACAGCAGGGTATTGCATTTATGTGTGGTGAAACCTGGTAGCATCGAGAAGCAAAAAGCAGGCTGAAATTTCTTGTTGATCCTAAACTTTAAAGGAAGGGTCCTATGAGAGCGTCATGTGATAATATGGTTACTATAGACACTGTAAAGAATCCTATTCATCATGGTCGGGCCAAACATGTGGAGCTTGATTAGAACTTTATCAAGGAGAAGTTAAACTCTGAAATCATCAATCTTAATATCTTATCCGTACTCCCACACGATTCCAGGTGACTGACAATTTGACCAAGGCTATATCTAGAGTGAATTTTGAATACTTAAATGACAAGTTGGTAAAGAACAATATCCATTCACCAACTCGAGAGAGAGTGTTAGTGTCCGTGTGTTACTGGTGCATGACTCCTGAGGTGATTGTGTCTCATTTTGTATTATTTCCTTCTGTTTTATATACCATATTTTTGGTCATCTATTGTCATTCATAAGTTCTCATTAGTTGATGCTACCATGCTTGTATCGAGGGACTTGAGGTCACGTAATTATGGATATCACTTCTTATTTATGTTGGTCTTATTTGATATATGAACAAAAAAAGGAAATTGAGTTGTTCAGAAACTGGAAGTTTCAGAATTCTACAGCTAACAACACCCTGCTTTGAGGGGAGTCACTTGCCTTTTGGCTAAAAAATAAATAGGAAGCAGAATGAGATAATAAATGGAAAATATGGAAGTAAAAAGTCAAAAATACTCCTTAAAGAAGACACTGAATAAGCACAAGATTGTAATAAAGTAATGGATCAAACAGTAAAATGATACGTTGAAAATCATAATTTTATTGTCATTTATTAAATTTAAAAGAGAAGCACCAGTGACGTGTATCTAGCAGCAAGTCTTCTAGTCCAAAAATTCAGTATACATAACACGAAAAGTTCGATATGCCAACATTACTCTTTCCAAATTCCCAGAATATCACACTTTTTTAAAACCCAAAATTCAAGGTTTCACATGGAGGACTAAAAATATCAAAACAGTTCAGGAACTTACTGCTTTGCTGCTGCTGCTAGCTTACCACGAGGATTAATGCCTCTTTTTGCTATTTCATCACCAAGATTCATAATTGGAATCCCGTCAATATATTCCATGACTAGGACTCTCCTGTTATAGAAAAGTACATAAATACTAATCACTCTATCATAAATGAAGTACATATGATTATTGTATACCTGTTCTATGAATATTTCAATATAGCAAATAAACTCTTTACTAGACAAAGTACGTGTCAGATGTTTTTTTTAATAAAGGTTTTTTAGTTGTTATTGTCAACTATAGTGCTTTCAATCACACATTGAGGTTGTTATGACATGATAAAAGAAATTGTCATTGACATGATCCTAGATTTTTACAGTAGAGAATTCAGGCATAGACCATGACTATGCACCCGAAGTTGACTGCTCATCATTCTAGCTCCCAAAGCATTTCACTATTTGCTATTTTGTTTGAATAAATATTAGCCAAACTATTGAATGTACAAAGCTATCGTCACCAAAGAAATTTACAAAACTACTAAGAAAAAATGAAGAGAATTAAAAAAAAAAAAACTTACAGGTCAGCCATAAAGA